AGTGCAGACTTAGATAGCTGATGGCAGAAACCCAGATCTCTAAGTGACTCTGTGACTCTGTGAGCAACTCAATCTTCCTGCCTGCTTTGCCTGATTTTTTTGTTGGCTGTTTACCTGGCTTGTTTCTCATAATGCTTTTTTCTGTTTATGTTTGATATGTACTGTTAACAAATGCAGTTTTTTATATGTATCGTATCTTGTGCTGACCCAGCCCGTCTGTCAAATTTTAAAAGTCAATGCGTCCCCCGAGCCAAAAAGTTTGCCCACCCCTGGTGTAGGGTCTCCCGCTTGGGCGGGGGGGGGCAGGTTGGACTAGATGACCTACACGATCCCTTCCAACTCTGTTAATCTGAGTTAACTAATTTTATCCTTGGCTAAATTGAATGCCCTTCCAACAGATGTTACTGAAGGAAGATATCTAAAGATAACAATGTGGTGAAGAAACAATGGAACACGTTGTTTTTTTCGTTCCCTCTATGCAGGTGCATTTTTCACTAAACATTCTTGTTATTTTGTCTCTCTCTCTCTCTCCTAAATTGTTACTATCTAACCACAGTACTTGGTTGTGATCAACAAATTAAAATCACTTAATTTTGTTAACCACAGCTGAGTCATGCTCTGTAGCTTGTAGAGTACATCAGAAAATGAACTCCAACTTTTCTTAAATATTGTAGAATTTTTATGCACTTCACAATTTTATCTTGTGACTTTTGCTTGGTTTGATGGTCTGTGGCCAAATAAAAATGGATGGCTTTATTGACATATTGCAGTAACCGCTAAACAATTTTTCCCTTTGTATATGTACCCTTCAAGATACTGTGGTATGAACAGTAACCCAAATACCACAAATTTGTGGGGGAAAAAATGATCAAGTTTGATTTCATTTAAAAATGGAGTGAGAAAGAAAAAGTTGGCAATTTGTTTCATACCGAAGCTCATATTGAAGACACAAACTTTATCTTGGTAGAATGCAGGTGCAGATTTAATTGGATTAAAAATCCTAGGTTGGTGGGACAAAGGGGATTAATGGCCAATTCCCTCTGAGAATGTAAAACCCAGTAGTTACTGAGATCTGTATTCAATACGTTGCACACCTTTATTGCCAGGCAAACAAAAAAAAACATTTTTTTAAATGTCACAGTAACAAATTGATGCTCCTAGCACTTGCATGATTAGGGGACTGGAGGCTAAAACATATGAAGAATGGTTGCAGGAACTGGATATGTCTAGTTCAATGAAAAGGAGGACAAGGGAAGACATGATAGCAGGGTTCCAATATCTCAGGGGCTGCCCCAAAGAAGAGGGAGTCAAGCTATTCTCCAGAGCCCCTGAGGGCAGGACAAGAAGCAACGGATGGAAACTAACCAAGGAGAGAAGCAACTTAGAACTAAGGAGAAATTTCCTAACAGTGAGAACAATTAATCAGTGGAACAACTTGTCTCCAGAAGTTGTGAATGCTCCAACACTGGAAGTTTTTAAGAAGAGATTGCATGATCATTTGTCTAAAGTGGTGTAGAGTTTCCTGCCTAAGCACAGGGTTGGACTAGAAGACCTCCAAGGCCAATATAATAATAAATGGAGATACAACAAAGGCATTTAGAATAACAAAAGGAGTCCGACAGGGATGCCCATTGTCACCTCTGCTCTTTATTTTGACACTAGAGACACTGTTAATAAAAATTAGGAATTATACAGGCAACAAAAATTAAAAAAGAAGAGTATAAACTACAAGCATTCGCGGATGATTTGGGTTTTTTTTTATTGAGGAGCCACTAGAATCAGGCCCAACTTTGATGGAGGAATTAGAAAAATATGGAGAGATTTCAGGATTTAAAATCAACAGAGACAAAACCAAAATGCTAGTGAAAAACATAACAATTAGAAATAAAAAGCAGCTAGAAAAAGTAATGGGACTACAAGTCACAAAAAAATTTAAATATTTAGGAATATGGTTAACAACAAAGTGCTCCACAATAAAGGAAGACAATTACACCAAATTATTCAATCAAATTAAAAAAGATTTGGAAAAATGGAGGACTCTACAATTATCATTATTAGGAAGAATAGCAACTATAAAAATGAATGTCCCGCCAAAGATTTTATATTTATTTCAAACAACTCCAACAAAATTAGATAAGAATTTTTTTAGAGAACTTAATAGAATAATCACAAAATTTGTTTGGGCAGGCAAAAAAGCCCGAATAAAGTTAAAAGATTTACAGGATAATAAGAGCAGAGGTAGCCTTGGGCTTCCAGATTGGGAACTATACCATAAGGCATTAATACTTGTATGGATACGAGATTGGATCAACCTAAGGAAAAAAAGAATATTAACCATAGAAGGGCAGGACATACAAAGAGGATGGCATGCCTTCCTGTGGGACAAAGAAAACAAACCGTATCTATACTTTTATAGACATAAAATAAGAAATGTGCTGATAATTTGAAAATTCCAAACTGGGTATCTCCCTTGGAAGCAGTAATCCACCCCCAATATAATGGAGGTTAAGAAAACGGCTAGGTATAGGGAAATTCTAGATGACCAAGGGAACTTAAAAGAGCAGACAGAAATTGGAAGAGTAGGGAATAAAACTGGATTCGTGGACCTATATGCAAATTCAAACAAGATATAAAAAAGACAGTGAGGAATTTGCAATAGATAATGAAATACAAAAACTAGATAAAATCTTGATTGGCCCAGATGAGAAATTATTACCAGAGTCATATAAAAACATTTATTAGAATTTGAAAGAGTGGAAGAAATTGTGAAAGGAACAATGATTGCATGGGGTAGGAACATTGGACATACTATTGATCTGGAAGAATGGCGAAAGATTTGGAATGTGAATTATAAAATAACAAAATCGGTGGCATGTAAGGAAAACCAACATAAAATGTTCTATCGTTGGCATTTGGCACTTTCAAGACTGTCTAAGATTTACCCAAACTTAAAACCAAATTGTTGGAAGTGTGGACAACAACAAGGCACCTTCTTTCATTCTTGGTGGACATGCCCCAAAGCGAAAAAATACTGGAAAATGATGCAAACATGGTTAGAAGAGTTAACTAAAAACAAAATTCATTTTGTCCCGGAATTATTCCTCTTAGGAATAATTTTTTGAAAAAACTATAATAGAAAGATAAAATATCTTATATTCTTACATATATTAACAGCAGCAAGAATTTCATATGCTCAGTACTGGAAGGAAAACTCTATACCACCTGAAGGGTTCATAATCAAAAAAAAATTTGAGTGTGTGGAAATGGATAAATTAACTATGGAATTAAAAGGGAAAACAGACACAGAATATAAACAGTATGGGAAGCCTGGTTTATTTGGATAGATAATAGATATAAAAATAGAAAATGTAAATAATGTATATAATAAATAAGAGGGTATGAAAGTATTATGCATTGTAAGTTTTGATAGGTCACATAAATGTATATATAATGTCACAGCACTGTTTAGTAACTATTGGTATTATGTATAAATGGGAAAAAATTCAATAAAGAATTATTTTTTTAAAAAAATAGAAGACCTCCAAGGTCCCTTCCAACTCTGTTATTCTATGTTCAGGTTGCTGGTTAGAAGCCAGTTTCCCTTCTTGTTCTAGAAAGTCTTGGAAGAATTTGGGGGGAAAAATCTCCATATAATCAGAGTTATCTCGGTACAATCAGTCAATATGCTCTAATAAAGGAGAATCTTTGTAGCTCAGGGTTGACATGAGAGGTCCTTGGTGCTACAGCAAATCCCATTCCTTATAAGTACTGATGATGTTACCTAGTTTGGGTAATGAAATGTCTGCAAGAAAACAAGCTCAGAGAGCACTAAGGACTCTTAATTAACCCTCTAAATCCCCTCCTTTACTTTGAAGCCAACAGGTTTTCCTACCCTACTCAGAACGTTTCTCTCCCCCTTCCCCCCAACGTATTTTGCTAACCTGGATTGATTGAATGTCCGTTAGAGCAGGGGTCTCCAACCTTGGCCACTTTAAGCCTGGAGGACTTCAACTCTCAGCAAAGCTGGCTGAGGAATTCTGGGAGTTGGAAGTCCAAAGTCTTAAAGTGGCCAAGGTTGGAGACCCCTGGGGTAGAGATACATTGTCCTGTTTTTCACACCTGTGCTTCATTACTTTACCTGCCTAATGGTTCTTTAGACCAGGGGTCTCCAACCTTGGCCACTCTAACTGTGGAGGACTTCAATTCCCAGAATTCTGGAAGTTAAAGTCCTCCAGGCTTAAAGTGGCCAAGGTTGGAGATCTCTGCGTTAGAGAAAAGACTAGAAAATTTAGCTGGCTCACCACTCTTAATGTTTAGTTTCCAATATTTTACACAACCGGTTTATCTGAATAAACAAGGATCCAGTCCAACCAGAGGATAGCTTCCCAAAGGTGCTTTTTCAAGAAGCCACTGGACTTTCTTGGTTTCTCTTTGAAGACGATTTGCTTTTCATCCAAGAAGCTTCTTCAGCTCTTCTCCACCATCCAGTCAGAACTGAAGAAGCTTCTTGGATGAGAAGCAAAAACGCCTTCAAAGAGAAACCAAGAAAGTCCAGTGGCCTCTTGAAAAAGCACCTTTGAGACAACCATGACCCGGATGACAGAGAATCTCCATAGGTACTCAAAAGATAGCTTGTGGCTTCTAAGCCCCTCTACTCGAGTCAACAGGCTTGGAGAAACACAAACTAACCAGCCACGCATTAACCTGGTTTGTCGCGCCGATTCAGGGTTAAAGAAGCGAGGGCCTCCAGCAAACGTGCATTTATATTATCCTTCCAGGAGGCTGGACTTCAACTGCAGGAAAGTCCCTGATGGAGGATGGGAGGAAAAAAAAAAAAATTCTTCCCGAAGATGACAAAGGCAGGAGCGAGGAACCTGAAGCTCTATTCGACCCAACGCTAAAACACGCCAGGGGAGGGGACGTGCCTAACTCCAATTCCTCCGCCTACTTTGCAACCGCCCTATTTAAACGCTGCGCCCGCAACTTAAGAAAGTCTTCGCGAGTAACCGGCCGTCTCGAAAGCTCCTTTCGCCCGAGCCCCGAGCGCACTTTCTCCGCTCTCGCTTCCAACCGCATTGCGTGGATCGGCAACTCCGGACCGCTTTCTTTGGGTGCTCAACGGCCGTTGCCCGCTTTCGCCTTTCCTCCACCCGGGAGCGCACAGAGACAGCTACCTCCGCCCGGTCGCCGTCGCCGCCGACTAGGACCGGGTCCCTTCTTGTCATCGCCATGGGAGCCAAACTTCTTCTGGCGCTTTGCACCGTCGCTTCCCTGCTGGTGAGTTGCCAGCCTTCTTCCCACCCCGGGGAGCAGCCGATCCTTTGCGCGGCCCTTCGGAACTTGCCCGGGGTTATTTTATTTTTTTTCCCCTGTCACTCGCGAAAAAGTTTTCTTTTCTTTTTTTTCTCCCTTGCCTTTTCTTCTCCACCGCGGATCTCCCGGCGCTGCTGCTGCAGGCGAAGGTGGAAGCGCGCGTCCCGATCCGCGCGCATCCCTTTCCCCCTTCCTCGTCCCGCGGAGCGAAGTTTGGCTATGCCGGGAGGAGGAGGAGGAGGAGGAGGAGGAGGCGACGCGCCGCCTTCGCTCTTAGCAAGACGGGGGTTTGCGGGATGGAGTTGGGAAGGGACGCTCCTGCCACTTGCACGGGGATGTCTCCGGCCTTGACGCTTGTGTGTGTGTGTGTGTGTGTGAAGGGAGAGACGGGAGTCGGGGGTCGATCGCCCTTCGGGGAAAGACCCTCGCTTCGCCTCCGAACATGTCCGGGCAAGTATCTCCTTCCATTAAAGCGCGGCGGCTTCGCTGGTTGCACACCTTTGGAGTTGCAAGCGGGCAAGGTTGACGTTTCCGTGTAGTGTGTTGGAGAGGAACCGAACCGTTCCCGTCACGTGTGGGTTCGGGATGGTGCGAGTTACGGGCTGACCCGCAAGATGGGGAGGCTTGTGAAGCAAACCTCGGGTGTTCATCCGTGGCTTTGAAATCGTCCGAGGCGAGGTAAAGCCTCGGCTGGACTATCAAGCAAAGGAGCGGATCTTTCTCGAATTTTTCCCAATGTGTCCTTAGTGAACGGTGTTCTCAAGTGACTCATTAAATTAGAAAGTAAGAGCAACGTACCCGTGAGCTTTTCCAACTCCTGGGATGTCCCAAAGGGGCTTTTCTAAAAAGGCAACTGGACTTGTTTCATTATTATTATTATTATTATTATTATTATTGTTATTATTATTATTATTATTATTATTATTATTATTATTATTATTATT